CTGCTGAGGAAAAGAAATTACTCGTGATAGGTGAGATGTGTTCCATTGGGTTTGCTGCTACTGGTAATAATAGAGTTTCTCGGTTTTGAGATCCTTACAACCAGATAACCAGCTCAACTCTATTAAAAAAAATAATCTCAAATCTTACAGGAATCCTTAGACTCAAAAGGGAAATTGTTGCAAGTGTGTTTATTTAGCTGTTTGCTTTATAAATTAGATTCAATGGAATTATTTTTAAGGTATTTTTTCTTAGGGAGTGTCTGCAGGACTTTTCAAAGAACGTACATACTCCTATATGTATTCACATTTGTTGAAGAAATATCCATGCCATATAAGAAAAAATTAACTCCTTCATCTGAAGTTCCAAATGAATGCTAGTGATGCAGGCAGAGAAAGTTCACTGCTGATTTCTGCAGCAGTTAATGTAACTGATAGGTGGCAGTACTGTAAATAAATAGGACTGACAGGATATGTGTTTTACCATCTTGCTGAGGAGAGCAGGAAATTCTAATCATGTAATGTTTTCTCAGTTTGTAGATTTAGGTAATGATTTCCTGAAAGCCAGAGAACAATAGAAAAATTTTTAAAAGCTTACTCTTAATGGCTGAAATTCTTACTGTTTGGTAATGAAATGCAAACAACTTTGACATGAATTTTTTTGTTTTCTTCAAGGAAAAATTGCAAAGGTAACTGGATCACTTATACTTGGGTGAGTTCTAACTGACAGGCCTATATGTAACTTAGATATGTCATTAAAATTTTAATTCGTGTATCTTTCAAAAAATGTGACAATAGCAGCTGACCTTTAGCCATGATAGAATATAATTTTGAAGAATATTTTTTAATAGTTATTACTTATTTAAAGTATTTTAGAGTCTTTTCTCTACTTTGCTAAAGTATAATAATAGGCTGACTGTTATATACTTGGTAAATTCTGGATGATTGATACCAAAATGATTGCTAATGTATTTTTGACATAATAATTTTAAAAATTAATACTAATATGCAGTTTTCTTTTATTTAGAGGCTTTGTATTCATTACATACGAAGTTATGTCCTTAAAGAAGTTACTGCAAATAGATACTCAAGCTGTACAGCAAGAAAAACTGAAATCCTATGTATACGTACGTACAACTCCTCTAAATCCAAGTGAATATCAAGGTAAGATGCCTAATTGTATGGATTCTAAAAATAGAATTTAAAAATAATAGAATGTTTCTGGAAGTCAGCCTTATGCAAGGAAAGATATATTTCCTCAGATCTGTTACAAAAATAATATTATTCACAATGTAACCATATTTATCTCTAACCGATGGCTGATTTCTAAAAATACTTCTATATATACAGTTCTCTTTATAGGAGACAATTATATATAGAGATGTGTGTGTGTATCTGTATTTCACAGATATAGGTCATAGAATGCCAGGTTGGAAGGGACCTCAAGGGTCATCTGGTCCAACCTTTCTTGGCAAAAGCATAGTCAAGATGGCCCAGCACTCTGTCTAAATCTTAAAAGTGCCCAATGTTGAGGAATCCACCGTTTCCCAGGGGAGATTATTCCAGTGGCTGATTGTTCTCATTATGAAAAATTTTCCTCGTGTCCAATCAGAATCTCCCCAGGCATGACTTGTACCCATTACCCCATGTCTTTTCCATGTAATTTCTTGTAAAAAGGGATCTTTGTAGCCACCCTTGAAATACTGGAACATAGTGATGAGGTCTCCTTTGAGCCTTCTTCCCTCCAGGCTGAGCAAACCCAGTGCTTTCAGCCTTTCCTCATATGGCAGACTTCTCAGTCCTTTTTGATCTCCCTCATGGCCCTTCTCTGGACCCTCTCCAGCCTGTTCACATCTTTTTTGCATAGTGGGGACCACAGGTGAACACAGGATTTCAGGTGTGGCCTGACAAGCATGGAGTACAGTGGGATGATTTCTGTTTCTGCTGGTGATGCCCTTGTTGGTGCAGCCCAGCATCCTGTTGGCTTCCTTTGCCACAGCAGCATTACTGTTCAATCATATTGAGCTTGGTGTCCACCAGGATCCCCAGGTCCTTTTCCCCAGAGCTGCTCCCCAGTCAGATAGATCTTAGCTTGTGCTGCACTCATGGATTATGTTCTCCCAGGTGTAAGGTCTTACGTTTGTCTTTTTATATATACATACATACATTTTCATACAAATGTAAATATAAAAGAACTGTCTTTCTGACTTCCAGTAATCTAAAAATGCTCTTACAGGGATCACATACCAAGCCAGAAAAGAAATCCACAAAGCTGTGAGGAAAATTCTAGAAACAGAAGCTAAAATTTTCCGGAGACCTTTTAGTGGTGAGTATTGAAAGAATTACTTTTTCTATCATCATTATTTTTTAATAGTAAAACATAAGTCTTTTAGTAAGTAGGTTTTTTTTTACAAGCTTAACATGTTACTTTGTGTTTGAAACATTGGTAATAGTACTATCATTTTCTTTATTTATACAGAATATTATTATATTTTCTATGTATTAAAACCATGCTTCTTAAAGTAAATGCAAGTGGTGGTTAAGAAGAGATTTGAGGTTTTGTTTTTTCCTGTTTCAGAAGAGGTTTGAAGCTTAAGATACCAGTTTAATATTTGATACCAGGTTTGTGTACAGAAGGTGTTTGGGGGATGAAATACTCTCAAAATTTAATTCTAGAAAAGTATGTTGTTGTTTCATCAGCATTGCCAATATTAATGGAAAGCAGCATGGTCTTTTTCTAACAGTGTGTTACTGCTTTTTAGAGTGATTTAAAATAAGAATTTCAATTCATATAAGAAACTGTGCTCCTGAGATGTACTATCTGTTCTCATTTACTGTCTGTTAAATGGTTATAAAAATAAGTACCTCCACTGGGGTGCTATGAAATTAATTTTTCAAGGTCGGAGCCTCGAGAGTTGCTCTTCATTTCCATCTCCTGCTGGCAGCTGGCAATTCTGGTTAGTAAGTGCCAGCCAGGGTGTGTATATGTAACATATATATACATATATATGAAATACCAACTTTGTGCCACTAAAATGAATTGAAATCATGCTATTAAAGGGTCAGCATTTTACTAATGCCATTCTATCATTGTGTATTGCACTAATTCAGTCTTAAAACATTACACTCTAAATTACTGTTAATTCAATAATATTCAAATATTCAAATTCAGTAATATTCAAATATGCAAATAAACTTTTTTTTTTAATTCAGTGAACAGAAACATTGCTGTTAAAATGCTCATTGATAATAACTTGGCTTTTATTTGTTTCCTGGTAAAAGAGCATTTCAGTACATTTGATGGAGAAGATCATGAATGTGCCTTATGGCTCCTCTTAAAGAGAAGTCAGTCAGAAGACAAAGAGGTCAGGCTGAAGGCTGTACAAGACCTGGCAAACAACAGGCACTGGCATGGTAATGTATGCTAATGTAGCCTAATTCATTCCAGAAGTGTGGCAAAGTCTCAGCTGTTGCAAGTCTGCTACCAACAAGAAAAAAGGCTAGTAGCTGCAAGGAGTGTAAATACGTTCTGAAACTTGGTCTGAAATGTGGGGGAGTTTATTTACATTTCAAGCAGTTCTTCTTTCCTAATACCCTGGTACCTGGATCTGCAGTGTGGGCCTCTCTCTACTTCCCCACCAGAGGATCACAACCACTGCCATGGTGTGAGAGAGCAGTTCATCAGTTCCTTAACTTTTCTGTTGGAACTGATAACAAGGTCACTATTTCAGGGTAACTGAAAGTCTGTCTTCAGTTACCAGGGCTACTTGGGTGCTATCCTGCCTTTTCTGAGATCAGCTGATTTTGTGACTAGCAATTTTATTAAAACATAGCTTTTGCATAATTTAAAATTAGGTGTCTGTGTCTTGGCAGTTGTTGGATTTAAGGTTTTTTAATACAGTGTGCAGAAGAAAATACGCAAATGCTTGTCAATTTTTTAACTCAAGCCCAAGGTTTGTAGTCCTTGTACTCCTTTCACAGTGGCAATAGTGAACGTTGCTTTTGCTTGTGTTCAGTTTGTATCTGAGGACCTTAATTAAACTGGTCTATAATGAGCAGCTAGTGCCCAGGTGTCTTCAGTTCAGTGTAGTCCTGGTGGAACAGCTGCAGTATTTGTCTTCTGGAATTTGTGATTACAAAATCGGAACTTACTTGTGTAGCTCACAGAGAAGTGGTATTATTTTCAAGTATGTTAACAAAGTACATCAGAAACTAGATTTAAAAGCAGCTGAAGTGTAGTTTTAACCCTAACACTGAAGCTCTTGTACTACAGATTACCAGTATGGTACAGTTGCCCAAACCTGTGATCAAAGGACCGCTATAGGTTTGGCTCGATCCAAAGATATCGACCTTCGCTTTTTCCTGCCTCCACCACCATTGCCAAAAATGAAGAATGTAAGTAATTGCAAAATAGGTATTAGATTACTTTGGTTGCTCATTTGTTTTTAGTACTTTTGGTGTTGGTAGCCATACTAAAGTGGAGTTCTTCTAAGTAGTAAGATTAAGATCAAAACAAAAAAATGTAATATGGTGATATACCCCTGGGGTATATCTGCATTAGTGAGTTGCATGATGGAAAGAAGTAAGGATGGGGTGTTGAGCAGTGGTTGCTCTTGGACTGTATGTCCACATGTATCACATGTTTACTAGCTGTGAATTTTGAGCCAGCTACCAGTCTGACACACACACTGCCTGTCTACCTAATAAGCAATATAAAGCAGTCTTATATTACATTATCCTAGGTTGCCTTGATACTGACAGAATCTTGTGCATAGAGAGCAGTTGCTAAGCTAGTGTGGTGCCCTAGATAAGTGTTCTGGCATGCAGCTTTAGCCTTGATTATATAAGAAACCATTTTGAGCGCACCGTGTGACTCCCAAGTGTAGATGCGAGGCAGATTTGCTGCCTGAAAAAATTCCTCCAATGCATTGAATTTAAAATATATGGATTTGAAGGGTGGACCACTTTGTGGATAAGGAATTGGCTGGCTGGTTGCACTCAAAGAGTTGTGGTCAATGGCTCGAAGTCCAGGTGGAGAACAGTGACAAGTGGTGTTCCTCAGGGGTTGATACTTGGACCGGTGCTATTTAACATCTTTGTCAGTGACATGGACAGTGGGATTGAGTGCAGCCTCAGCTAGTTTGCTGACAACACCACGCTGTGTGGTGTGGTTGACATGTTGGAGGGAAGGGATGCCATCCAGAGGGACCTTGACAGGCTTGAGAGGTGGGCCCATGCCAACCTCATGAAGTTCAGTAAGGCCAGGTGCAAGGTCCTGCACCTGAGTCAGGGGAATTCCAAGCACAGTTACAGGTTGGGCAGAGAATGAATTGAGACAAGTCCTGAGGAAAAGGACTTGAAGGCATTGGCTGATGAGAAGCTCAACATGAGCTGGCAATGTGCACTTGCAGCCCAGAAATCCAGCTGTGTCCTGGGCTGCATCAAAAGAAGCATGGCCAGCAGGTCAAAGGTGATTCTCTCCCTCTACTATGCTCTCGTGAGACCCCACCTGGAGTACTGTGTCCAGCACAAGAAGGACATGCAGTTCCTGGAGTGAGTCCAGAGGGGGGCCACAAAGATAATCAGAGGGCTCGAGCACCCCTCCTGTGAAGGCAGGCTGAGTTGAGGTTGTTCAGCCTGGAGAAGAGAAGACTCGAGGAAGAGCTTATAGTGGCCTTCCAGTAAGTGAAGAGGCTACAAGAAAGCTGGGGAGGGACTGTCTATAAAGTGAATGTAGTGATAGGTTGAGGGGGATAGGTTTCAAACTGAAAGTGAGATCTAGATTGCATATTAGGATGAAATTCTTTACTGTGAGGATGGTAAAGCTCTGGAACAGTTCACCTGGGGAAGCTGTTGCTGCCCCATCCTTGGAAGTGTTCAAGGACAGGTTGGATGGGGCTTTTAGCGATATGGTCTAGTGGGAGGTGTGTTGGAACTAGATGCTCTTTGAGGTCCCTTCCAACTGAAACCATTCTGTGATTCTGTGAATCACTAATGTAGACATACTCCTTGTTTTTCACAAAAAAATTCTGCTGTCTTCTCCTTTTTGATATCTTAATCTACTTATATATGAATTTAGAAGTTACAGAAAGTATTTGGAGATGAGCTTTAGTGTTACTACTGTTAAGTAAGTTTTATTTAACATCAGTTATCACAGTACTCACTAGATTTAATTGCATAGTATTCAAACAGGAAATTCACTAAGTATGATTTTTGCTGCTGACATGCATTGTACCTCAATACAGTAACTGAGATTAATCAGATAAGCAAATATGTAGCATCTGGAGCAGCTTTAAGTAATCTGTAAATTCCCAAATGCCTCCAGAAGTTCTGAGGTGGAGCTGAGGCTCTTCCCCATCCTCTTCACTTACAGTAAGATTTACCGGCCTTGTTTTCTTATGCCTAGGCCTGCTGCAGGCCCACCATCTTCATTGCCAGATTTTGAGTACTAGCAGATCTGTCTTGGATAGATCAGAACTTGTTTTGAGTTTTTGTCAGTTATTCAGTATATTTATACAATGGTTTGCACAATCATGTCATAATACCAGCTTCTTCAATAAACAGAATTGGTACACAAAGCATAATATAAGAGGTCTTTTGTAATGCTAATAGAATGAGTGCTGACAAAGGTCCCTGCCAGAGAATACAGAGGTAGTCTCAGGTTTTACTTTCTTATGTTTTGTAACATTATTAGATAGTGGATCTGTACTTGGCAGTCTGGAAGTGCTAGGTTATACTAGGCTATGGTTTTGTATATACTTTATTTTTACAGTAGTATTATTGCTAGGTGACTGGAGTTGGGAGTTCCCAATCTGCTGTTTAGGAAGTTGAAGCAAATCACTGTCTCCATCTCTGATTGTATCAAGAATCAGATTAACTGCAAGTTCCATTACTGTAAACAGATAAAATTACTTTGTTGAATCTGTTTTCCTGTCACCTAGCCTAGATTCTTAAATGAGCATCTGTATGGATATTTTGAAAATAAAAGATTAAAGAAATGTCATCTTTATTTTTTACTAGTAATTTATACATTCATTTTCATGGAGCAGCACCAAAACTACTTTATAGGTAAGGATGAACTTTTAAAGCTTGCTGTACCAAGAGGAACTTTTTTTCTCTTGTCCTTCTGGACCTACTAGAGGAAGGCCACCAAAGTATGAAGTTTAAAACTTGCTTTTCACCACTCAGTCAGTGGTTTTAGAATTATCAGTTTCCTACGTCTTAACAGGTGTAGCTATTAAAGAGCACTCAAATCCAGGGATTGTATTTTATGGATTATTGATGTGTCTGATATCATTATTTCAGATCTTTTATCTGTGTTTTGCTTCATGCTTTGAAGAGAACTAAAAGCTGGTTGTGCTTACTTCCTACAGGATTGTACCATAGAAGATGAACTTCGCTTGTTGTTAGTATCGTTACCCCAGGCTGGTCTTGATCCATGTGTCCAGTACTTCACATCTCTTGCTTTACGTGAAACTAGTCAGACTCTGGCTGCACAAAGGGTGAGTTCCACCTGCAGAATAGAATGTTTTGGGTTATTCCCGTATGTTTTGAGTATTATAAGAGGAGGAGAAATAGAGACTTTGTGACCATACAACATAAGTAAAATCTCTTCTAAATACAGTCTATCCGCTTGAAAGGTTGTTTATCTTCATGAGCACTACTAGTTGATCTAGTGAAAAGCTATGTTTTTATTTACATTTTGTCCAGGACATTTCCTTCCCCTTGCAGTACTCATAAAATTATTTTTTTCACTTTCATCTGACTGTTGATTGAGTGTTCTTTCTCTGCTGAGGTGATCAAACCTGTTAGGTCTTAATAGCAATGCTATGTTGTTACCACACCTTAAATGGCAACCTCTGTTATATCACATGGAAATGCCTCCCTGTAACAGGTCACTGTTGCCAAAACCAAAATTTGAATCATCTAGGGGTCTGTTTGGGCTTGGAAACTAGGAATTATACAGCTCTGTCCAACAGCTTCCTAAGTGACTTTAGGAATGTCATTTGAAGTGCAGTTATTGCTTAAAAATAATAATTGTAATGCCTGTGTCACCCACTCTCTCTTGTGCATTTTATTATTTATTGACAAGAAGTGACTTCTAAAATTGGTGATTATTATTTTTAGTAAGATACAATAATAAAAATTACTGTCATATTTTAGTATGATGTTTAGAGTTTTCAGAGTGCAATAATTCTTTATTTTCTATTACACAATTACGTGTCATATTTTTACCCTAGGACTCCTTTATTTTTTTCACAGCCAGAGCTCTTGCTTCAGAGGGAGCTTTAGTGAGATTGCACACATGGATGCCTTTTGATGATCATGTTCTAGAAAACTTTTCTTTATTGAGGTTATGGAGGTCTTGCTACTGCATGATTGAGGAAGACTGGTCTTCAGAGACTATGCTACATATTGGAAGACCTTTTTTTTCCTGCTCTTCTAATTTTTCCAGCTGTGGAAATCTTGATGTGGTCTGATTCTTGCTTTTTTATGCTGAAGCAAATGATCTTAAGACATTCATTAACAAAATGAAAATCCTACATTTTCTCTCTTTATTGTATGTTTTGAAGTTAATAGACTGTGGAGACTACTGACTGAAAATCTAGTTAATTTTTTCAGTTAAAAATAGTAGATATTTTTATGGTGTACAGTTGTGTAATTTGTACATTTTGAAAAGTGCATGCATGCCGTGCACTCAGCAATTTCTGTAGATCATTACACAGTTAATGTTTTAATTTAGAAATGCTTATTTTATGTTGCTATTTGGAATGTGATACAATTTTTACTGATTCTCATTTCAGGGAGGCTTGTGGTGTTTTGGAGGAAATGGACTTCCATATTGTGAGACATTGAGTAAAATCCCTTCAGAGACAGTGGAACTCTTTTGCTTGCAAGCTCTAGTACAGCATTCTAAGGTAATTCATCCTTTAAAGTGTAATCAAAAACCTACATCTATAAGCATTCCTTTCTAATGCTCTCTCATACACTGGGACGGAGTTGCCATTCCCTTGTCTCCTATGTCTCACTTGCTCTGTAGCATTGTTCAGAGAACTGAGACTCATAAGAATTACAAAGTAGCACAACAAACTAATTTTTTCTCATGGGAAACGTATGCAAGTCCTGCTACTGTTTCTCATTAGTCCACATAAGTTCCCCTCTAGTATTCCTGGAGTAAAGGGCAGCTCTGACACAGAAAAGCAGGAGGGAATGTCTGAAGACCAGATGGCTTTAACAAGTTTTTTCTGTGTAGGGCTACCTCCCACTGATGCCCAAAGTCATTGGAGATAGATATCATGAGGAAACACAGAGTGTTTCCACTCTGCAGCTTCTCAGTAAGCAAGGTACTGATTATGTGAAATTCTCAATGTAAAGTAAGTGTGGATCTGTGTGAAGCTGTTGTACATCAGTCCAGAAAGCTTACAAGCAGTCTCTTCTTGTGGCTTTTAATCTAGGTCTGGTGCCAGGTTTCCCAAAAGCAAAGTAGCTTTGTGATTTCACTCTAATCAGAAGCCAGAATAGAATGCATACTGTGGATATCCACAAAGGCCCTTCCTTCAGCGGTTGCTGCCTTTGTGCAGAATATTGCACAGCAAGCAGCCAATACAGTGTATCTTCCTGTAGTATCTCTTCTTGCAGAGACAGATGAAGACTATGGAAACTTTGTGTAACAGTTATTTTTCTTGTCTCCTATTGCTGCACTCATTTGTGCAGGTTAAACAAGTTGTGACTGTACTCATTCAAAATGTCTCTCTGTCTTTGTTGAAAGATTTGAGGACATCAGCAGTTCCATAACTACCACACATTTTTAAGCACTGTAGAAAACATGTTCAAGTCATAAGCATGTGGCCAATGTTAGTAGTTGACACTAAAACTAATTAGTGCATATTCATCTGCTTGGACTAGAATCTGTTGTTACTCTTAAGATAAAAAATTACAGCAGTATTAGTTGGAATGTAGAAATAGCTCTGCATTCCAAAGAGAAGGGATTATAGCGATAGCATTTTAGGTGGTGAACCGGAAGAGGAGTAGCCCTGGTTGAGATAGTGTTTTAACAAATGCAGATCATTGTCCTGCTCCACAGTCTTGAACTTTGGTGAACTCTGGTTGAAACTTGATCACACCAAGTGGAAAGCAATCTAATCTCCCTCAGATGTGGAGGAGAGTAGAGTGATGGTGCTCAGCAGCTTTCAGGTTATCAATCTGTAGAAATCATGCATTTAGCATATTAAAATATTTATGTCCTCTTCAACTGTGGCATAATAAATTCTAGATTAATACAAATTTCTCTGTAATAAGCGCTCTCCATCATACTCGCTCCTTAAAATTCCCTAATTTGTGAATTAACAGCATCTTTAAGAACCTTTTGCAGAACATCTACTGATTGCCATTGTATTTACTGTATAATCTTAGGTTTCTTCGAACTGTGAGAAAATTGAGGCTAAAGGAGGCCTTCAGCTGCTACAGAGGATATACCAGCTACGCAAAGATTCAGCAAAAATACAAAGGAACATCATTCGCATTATTGGAAATATGGCTTTGGATGAACATCTTCATTCATCCATAGTACGTGCAGGTAAAAGGAAAGCAAGTGCAAGCAGTCTGAGTGTCAGATTCCTATTCTGAAATTTTCAGAGGGTCCAGTGCTTTTGTAAAATGCAAGGGGCCATTGTAGTGGTGTTTTTTTATATTTGGCAGGGTGGGGAGGTGGCATTGAGTTTTTTTAATACAAAAATAGGCAGTTTAGATGGCATTGATTAAAATCTCCTGTATGCTCTCTAGCCAATATATGTCAGTGCTACAGAGGTGTTCTCAGTGTGATGGATGGTGAAAATTGGGACTTGGTTGGTGCTCAGTTCACATCACTGGCAAAAAACGAGAGTTTCCTACTCTTGCAGATTATCTGCCTTGTAGATTAATTCTTTTTTTTTTTAACTAACTGTGTTTTAGTGTCATAAAGGAACAGACCAGCTTGCAGTCCTTACCTTATGAAACAAAGTAAAACATGCTTTCCTGCCCTCCCTTGTTTGTGTTAGGCTAGTAACTTCTGCTATGCTTTGCTCTGATGCCCCTTTTTTAATACCCCATAAATATCACAATGAAGATTCTGTACCAAATAAATAATTCCTGATGATTTGTTAGGAAAGAATATGATCGAGATTTACAAGGTTCTCACTGGTGTAGAGAAGGCAGAGGGGGAAAGGTCATCTGCTGTTTCTCATAATGCAAAACCAAAGTTTCTTTACATTAAATTATCAAGAAGCAGAACAAATAAATAAATATTTTCCCATACAGTGTATGACCAAACTAAAACTTGCCACAAAAAAATGTGATTGTTGAAGACTTAAAGCTTCAAAAAACAGTAAAACAAATTAATGGAAAGAAAAATCTATAAAGCCAAGTTGATTGCCCTTTTATTGCTCTAATCTTTTATTGTTCCACAACTGCCATTACTGCTCACTTTTGGAGAAAGACAGGCGAACTACAAAGGCCTTTGGTCTCACTTGTAGCACCATTCTTACATTCTTATGATTACTGCTAAAACCATATGTGTAGAGGAAGAGATCATAACAGAAGAGTTAGCAACTCTCAGGTTCAGCACTGCCAGTACAGTTTTAGACAGCAAACTGGACTCCAGAGATAAGCAGCAGGATGGTGCTGGTCAACAGTTGATAAGACTTCTCTTTTATTGCTGGATGATGCATAAGAAAAAAACCCCTCTCTTTTCCTTTGCAAAAACTGCCAGCACAGGAGGAGGAGGAAGAACAATGATGCACAGTGTAGCATCATAGCATAGTGTAGTGTAGGCAGAAAGATTCTGAACACTATTTTTGGCTCTTCATCTTGGCTCATTTATGAGAAAGGCAAAACCAGTTTTAATCAGACTAGCTTGGCAGTCTTTCATTGTATTTGGAGAACTGAAAACAGATTTTAGATAGTGTTCTTAAGGAGAACTTGTACAGTGGTTAACATATATTCTGCTTAGAAATGTAATTTAAATACTTAATTCTTAAAAAAAAACAACCCCAAAGTTCTCAGAGTACTTCCATTTAAACAGAACTCATGTCAAGCCATTCCTTTTCTCTGTCCACAGTGAACTATCTTAAATTAGCAACTTGCTGGCTGTACTAATAGCAACATATTGCACATGATTTTGAAACAGTACTCATGAAGTCAAATGCTTCTTTTTCAAATCAGCCACCATTTGAAATCTTGCTTCAAAGTCTTCCCAGGTTTTATTTCTTGGATTTGAACTTGACTATTTGAGATTTATAGGCCACTCTTGCTAGCAGCAACAAGATGTATCTGGATTTTAAATAAATGCATGTGTGTGCATAAAATATATTCCTTAGCATTTCTCAGTAGTCTATGAACATCCCCATCCATGTCTAAGGAACTATATTTTACAACTTAGATAAGGTATTATAAAATGCCTGTTTTTTCTTGAAGTAGCTAAGACTTAAATTGTATTGAAAATTGTTTCAAAGATTTCCTTCATTAATACTCTTCTGTTTTCTAGGTATAAATAGTGTACTATTTTTAGAATATCAGGAGCACTTTAACTCCTTAAATAGTTTTTCTCACACTGGATTTTGAAATTAGAAATGATTGTATTCTCACAGCAAGCATCAATTTTTCCACCTGTCATTACTCCTGTGGGTTGTTTTCTATGTCTTTCTTATGCTTTAAGCTTAATTTTCTCTTTGGGAGACAATTATTTTCCCTGTGTTTCTTGCATCTTACCTGCAGAAAGAGACTTGAGATCTATTCTCTCTCTGACAGCTGTACAGCTCTCTCTGACAGCTAATGTGTTATCTTTTTTTCTTCTGAGAAGGGGTTCTCCTTCAGATCATAAGCTGAAAAGTAGTAAAATACGTTGCATCCTTGTGACTCTGGGCTTTTGAATCTTGGAAGTTCCACTTATCTAGCGTTGGCTTTTCTCCAGTAAAGAGAGTAGATTGAAATAATATCTTTTGATGTTACCATTCTTAAGATTTAATATCTATTTTCACAAGTATAGTTTGAAGGATGTTTCTGAATTCTTTTGTTTGGATGATGTTTCTAATTAGTTAACCTGCCACTTTATGCCTTCAATATAGGTTGGGTTTCTGTACTTGCTGAAGTAATGAAATCCCCGCATGTCATTCAGTCTTCTCATGCATCCAGAGCTTTGGCTAATCTAGACAGGGACACAGTGAAAGAAAAGTATCCAGATGGTGTTTATGTCTTGCATCCACAATATCGTAGCAGGTAAAGGAGAAAGAGATATTGTACATTCTATACTTTGAGTTACTTGTTACACTGTTCAGTTACAAAACTGTGGAAGAGTTGATGTCAGAGTGCTGCTGTACTAACATCATCTGCTCCTGTTTGTTGGTGGGTTGCAAGGACTGAATTTAGATCCTCAAGTAGGAGAATAACAGAAGTGGTTGGAACAGTCCATAACCAGGAAAGGAGTATTATTGTATTGTATGGAAAAATCCAAACTCAAACCATGATATGAATTACTGCTTTGCATGCAACGCCGTCATTTAACATTTGCACTGGCTCTCTTGGGTTACAGTGCTTTGTAATTATTCTGCTGGTAGCAATACATGTTGGCCTGAGATGCAGTAAATGTACAGCTTCAGCTTCTTTTTAGTTGTGTATCTGGGACTGAAGCAGTCTCCAACATGGTGTGTCACTTAGCAACTATTCCTTGAGTCACTGGTGTTAGTCAGGTTGCAGTGAAGATCTAATTTGATGATAAAGCTGGAACTACCAAGCTGCATTAACAGGAGCTGGAGAGAGTGGTGTTTTTCACTACAGAAACATATGACTTGTGAGCTGGGTACTTTTCATACCTCTTTTTGTATCTCTCTTTTCTGGGTGGATTTCTGGTTTTTGTCTTGATCTGAGTATCCTCTTTGAAACACCGTGAAATGTTGTCTGTAAGATAAGAAATCACATGTAGTGTTAAAAATAGCATTTTGGCATCCCTTAGCTTAAAAGTTTAGTGTGTAACTTTAATTTGCTAAAATATGTACCACCATCTCTTAAAAAATTCCTTTTTCTGTGTCAGTCAGCCCATCAGAGCAGATGTCCTTTTTGTTCATGGTCTTTTGGGAGCAGCATTTAAAACCTGGCGGCAGCAAGACATTGACAGACGTTTGGATAAAAAGCCTTCAGAAGAGGAAGAGGACTATAGCCAGTGCTGGCCAAAGGTAGAAGGACAATAACATTTTCACACGTGGCTGCTGTTTTCTCATTAATCAGAGCTGTCCAGAGGATCTAGAATGATACTGTCTGGCAGCTCTTTTTTGAATCAAGCAACTGGTAGCCTGTTATACAAGTAGCATTTTCCAAGTTCCTGATATATTTTTGTTAGCAAGCTGCAATTTTGAACAGGTTGTTCTTGCAAAAGCAAATCCCTACTAAATTTAATGCTCTCAACGTCATTGTTCTGCTCGTGAAAGTGGAGGCAATGGTTGCTTTCCTCATGATATATAGATGTTTATTTTTTTTTAATATGGAATGTTACTGCTGATAAAAAGATACATAAAATTGCAACTTAAATTAAGTATCCTTTCTTACATAGGTGTCTGAGCACCTCAGTTGTGGCAGATTGCTACTTTAGTATTGTTGGTAAATAAGTAATCACTGCTTCAAGTAACTCATATTGGTAGAACCACCTAAGTATCTCTATAAACTTAAGATGATCTTAAGATGCTGGTGATCTTAGTAGTTCTCGTTTCACCCAGGAGAGGGAGCCAGGAACCCACGAGTTAGCAATGTATCTCCATCCTTTGCCTACTCTGTTTAGGGAGCAGGCTGGAGTTCGACATCATGTGATAAAAGAATAATAGTCTAGGCATAAGATGTATCTTGTACAGTAACATCTTTGCTCCATTGCTGAGAAATTGCATGCAGGAGTTAAATACTTCAATTATGAGCTCCTTTTGGTTTTGCTTTTCTTGAATTTAGACATGGCTGGCTTCAGACTGTCCTGCCCTTAGAATCATATCTGTGGAGTATGACACCCATTTGAGTGACTGGAAAGCAAAATGTCCTGTTGAGGCTCACAGGTAACAAATGTAGTGTCTGCAGTTTGGAGGGGAGGCAGGAGGGAAACCTGTAAAGCTGAACCTTGGGATCACCTGGTGTGAAACCGTGAATTTAACTTTTTCTGTTGCATCTGAAAATCAAATTTGGAAAAACATTAAGTACAGTCATGATATGCTCGAGCTTTTTAGTCTCATGGATAACTACTTGTGGCAACTTAATGAATTTTACAGTCTGTTCTGTTTTGTGTTTACAGGAGACACTAAATTATGCTATTAGTTGATGTAAATATAACATCAGTTTTATACCTTAAGGGGAACATTCTTTAAAAGTAGCCAAAATGTTTCGTAAAGACAGCAGAAAAAAATTAATTCTATACTATAAATTTATACTCATGATAAAATGAAGCATATAATTTTCGTAGAATCGTAGAATTGTTTAGATTGGAAAAGACTCTTAAGATCATCAAGTCCAACCATTAAACCAGCACTAACAAAGCCACCACTAAACCATGTCCCTCAGCACCACATCTACACACCTTTTAAATACCTCCAGCAATGCTGACTCAACCGCCTCCCTGGGCAGCCTGTTCTGGTGCCTGACAAACCTTTCAGTGAAGACGTTTTTCCTAATATCCGCTCTAGGCCTCCCCTGGCACAACTGGAGACCATTTCCTTTTGTTCTATCTCTTGTTACTAGAGAGAAGAGACTAACCCCCACCTCACTACAGCCTCCTTTCAGATAGCTGTAGAGAGCAAAAAGGTCTCCCCTCAGTCTCCTTTTCTCCAGGCTAAACAGCCTCAGCTCCCTCAGCTGCTCCTCATAAGACTTGTGCTCTGGAACCTTCACCAGCTTGGTTGCTCTTTGGACTCCCTCCAGCACCTCAATGCCCTTTTTGTTGTGAGAGGCCCAAAACTGCACACAGTACTCAAGGTGCAGCCTTGTACAGGGGGAGAATTACATCCCTACCCCTGCTGGCCACACTATTTCTGATACAAAGGTACTTTTATTCAAGAAGTCTTAATTCCTGGAAGCTGATTAGTCTGAGTGTTTGATAGATAAAATACAGAAACTGTGTCTGTTTTGGTAAAATAGTGTAATTGCCCTTGTCAGAGGAATTGTTTTTACTGACTATGAACCAGGGTAGATCAGAGAAAGATGCTACCTCCAAACATCTTCCTTCTAAAAAATAAAAATACCTTGACCCTCTTAAGGTTATTTGACTTGAATGGATTTTAGGCTTAATTAATTGAGTTCAGTGATCTTTAAATCAGATTGTAATCTGAATCCTGCTAATAGTGTTGGACTTGGCAGTGTTGGGTTAATGGTTGGACTCAATCTTAAGAGTCTTTTCCAACCTCAATGATTCTGTGACTCTAAGAGAACTTTTCTCCTGTGTCCATCTGGAGTAAATATAATGGAAGAAAATTTGAAAAAGAAAACACATTTGTTGAAGATAATATCTTCCTTATTAAAAAAAGAAAAATTACATTACCTGCTGTTTATGTTCACCCAAACATTGGATTAGATTATTTTATAATTTTATATGGCTAATAAAAAATGAAAGATATTGAAGATATTTTCAACTAGCAGGAACAACGATGTATCAGTAGAATCACAACTTTGATTGCTTTAAGAGTACAGGCTCATTTGAATTGTTATGTCTCAGCTATCCTAAAGCCTGTTGTTTGGCTGAAAAGACACATTTGAGTATCCTTTCTCATATGTGTTATAAAAGCAATTTCTAGTGAGAATGCTGAGAACCAGTAGAGATTAAGTGAATTACTTTGCACAGTGGTTACCCCAAAATCCTGTTGTTTTCATTATCCAAGGGTCTTCTATGTTTGATTCTTGTTACACTGCAAGGATTAATGATGTGGCACTTTCAAGCTTGGATTGGGAATTGCCATTGCTTTTGGGTGTACCACAGATTAATTTTCAACCCCTAATGTGTAGCTTATGCTTTACAGAGCTCAGTCTTTTAATGTACAAAGCAGAGTTTATTGTGTTTTTATACCATTCCAGTACAAAGGATTTGGAGATTATTGTCTGGGAAGTCTAACAGACATTATCTCTGATTTTTTTAATGTATTGGTTGATTATGCACTCAGTTATTAAATTCCTGTACATTGCTTCACATTTTAAGCATTGTTTGTGAAGAACATTTTTGTGAAAAATTAGGTATGTTCTTGTTTCAGGGGATCAGGTTCATTACACGTTGATGATGCTTTCATAAAATGAAAACATGATTTTGTTACTGTGTGTAAACAACACTATCTAAAACTTGATAAAGAGCTTTGTTTGAACTAAAGCTAAAGGAAATGAGTGGGGAGTGAAATGAAAGTAAATCTTTCTAGCAAGATCAAGAAACTGAATTTAACTCAATTTCTTTTGCCCTTGCAAAGCCAACCTTACAAAAATTTCTGGCATTTTTCAATGTAGCAACAATATTAAGTTATTAGCATTTTATGCACCTGCTTGTGTTGGTTTTTTTCTTGGCAGGAAGTCTATTGCTTACAGGAGCAATGAGCTTCTTGACAAGCTCAGAGCTGCTGGGGTTGGAGACAGACCTCTGGTGTGGGTATCACATAGCATGGGTGGTAAGGACATTGCCTGTCTGATATAAAGTATTGATTTGCTATTGTATTTCAGAATAGGCTGTTACCCAAATTCAGTCTGAAATGCAATTATTCAGAATAGTTTATTTTAAAAAATTGCAAAGACCTAAAAATGGAAAATAGATTTCTAATTTATCAATGCATTATCTTCAATAGTATATACATTTTGAAAGGATTTTTATTGCTCTTTGTTATTACAGCATTGATTTAAAGCCACAAAATCAATGAGTTGAAATTCATGTAAATGGAAATCCAGAGGCAAAATTTTCTCCATTATCAAGCATATAGGAGATGTCATTAGCAACACTTAAGGCAAACCAAAATTGGATTTGCATAATTCATTGGCATTCTATTTTAATGCCTCCTCAGGTGTGGTTTGGTTATTTTTTTAACTTATTCGTACATACCTGACAAACTAAGAACTAATCAACTGAGACAAGATTATAGTTGATTGTTTCATGGGTAATATAGCATGATTGTTAATTTCACAGTAGTTTAAATCCCTGCATTAATTCAGTGTCTGTTGCCAGGTCTTCTAGTCAAAAAGATGCTGGTGGATGCTTCCAAGAATCCAGAAATGGATAAAATTGTAAACAACACCAGAGGAATCATATTTTATAGCGTACCTCACCATGGTTCCCAGCTGGCTGAATATTCTATAAATGCCAGATATCTTCTCTTCCCATCTGTGGAGGTTAAAGAACTCAGCAAGGGTAGGCTCACTTTGCTGCCATTTAACAACGGGGATCTATGCTAATCTAGTCATGATGCTTTTTTTTATTGTGCTGTCAGAAAAAGCTGGATAAAACCAACAAATCTCATTTTTATGTTTTGGGTTGTGTGTTGAATTACTGTAAGTAATTCTGAGTAACTGTTTAATTTGAGTGCAGAAGCAAGGGGAAAAAAGGGCATCAGAACAAATTTCTACAAGAGGAGTTTGGGCCTTTCAGGAATGTATAAACTCAGCATTCAGACTGTTCCCTTCTAAACGGATTCCGTGCTATGCAGAAATAAACAACTGTTGCTTGTGATAACTGGAAAAGGGATTTTTTAAAAAATGCTACTCTTTTTACTGCAGTATTAATTTTTCCAAAACATCTCTTTATGACTCAGTCTTGCCAGACAAATGCTATAATCTTGTGTTGAAGATAACACTGCAAAAATTATGTTGCTCCTCTTCAGATTCTCCTGCCCTCAAAAAGCTGAACGATGACTTCCTGTCTTTTGCCAAAGATAAGAAATTTTCAGTGCTGAGTTTTGCAGAAACCCTACCAACACACATAGGCAGCATGATAAAACTGCATGTTGTACCTCTGGAATCAGCAAGTAAGTCAAATAGCCATTACATTTTGTATTTATTCATGTAAGTATTGATAACGAGGAAGGATTATAAATGCTAAGGTAGAAAAGACATAGAAAAGTACATCTGTTATATGAGGTGGGTTTTTTTGCTTACACTTCTGGTTGAGTTTAAACTACAGTCTCCCTGCTGAGATCACAGGCAGCTGCATTTATATCTTAGAATAGCAAGTGTTTGTTTTTATTTTCTAAATATGAGTAACACTTCCTTATTGAAAAAAGCAGGGTAGGCCCTGGGCTAATGGTACATTGCTCAAATCCTTTCCTTTGTAATGATGAGTAATGGTTTTTTATCCTTGTACAGGCAGGCTGTGTAGTGTTTCAGAAGCTCCTGCAAATTCCAGCTATTACCTCCTTTAAAATTAAGAAAGAAAATTAGCAAACTGCTAAAGGAAGGCAAAAGTCACAAAGCTGTTTTTCAGTGTTTGAGTCTTCCTCCTGAAGAGTTCCCTTCTATCTCTTTGCCTTTTGTAGAAGGGAAGACCAGATGATTCTTTCTCTTGATTTGTTTATGGGTTTCAATTTGAAGAATTGTTTAAAGTCTGATATTTCCAGGTTTTCCCTGAGCAAAACCCTCTTCTACACGGCACTGTAGGAATGAGTATTGATGCTTTTAGCACATTGAAATATCACAAAGACAAAACAGTTTGAAGACAGAACAAGTTGCTTTTGAGAGAGAAATTGCTAATGCAAGGTGTGCTTTTTAGTCTAAGTGATCTTACAAATTTTGGCAGTTATTTCTTCTTTTTCTTTTTTTTCCTCTGCCAGAGTTAGGAATTGGAGACCTTATTCCAGTGGATGTTAATCATCTAAATATTTGTAAGCCAAAGAAGAAGGATGCTTTCCTGTACCAGCATACATTGAAGTTCATTCAAGATGTCTTAGCCCAAGAACTTGGAGACTGAATTTTTGTAATCCTTGGCTGCTTGTTTCCTCCATTTGGTGTAACACAGTAAGTTCTTCTAACATTTGTTAGGGTATCTGCAGAACTACAAAGATGCTGCATCAATGGTATCAGCTGCTAAAATAATTTCCAGTACATCTCCAACTTAATTCTAAAACACATTCAAAGCAAATACAAACTGAAGTGTTAGAATCTTGGCAAAAAGAAAATGAGTGTTGTGTTAGAGTGACCATCATCTGTCAACAAAATGTATGTAAATTCTCTGGTGATTTGGCTGGGAGGTGATGGGGAATCAGAGAAAGAGAATTGTCACTTAGTCTACAGATATCCCCAGATATCTGTATCCAGATATCCCCCTCTGGAGCAACAGAGCTAGGCTATGGAGAGTGCAGAAAAACCACTTGCTCTGTAGGTGGTCTCCTTAAAGTAAATATACATCTGGGACTTAAGTCTGGTAGAGAGGATCAGAAGCAATTAATTGAGGAGGTTGTTGTGTCAAAGGGGAGAAGAAACATGTGGCTGCCGCAAAGCTTTGGTTTACTGTCTATGTTAGGCAGTCTGACTGGAGCCTGAAGAAATTTATCCAAGTGAATGACAACAGCATTTTAGTCTAGTGGCCCAATTACAGGAGTTTCTGTAATTTGCCTTTTCATGTAATAGCCCACCCAGGTTTGTCAGGGAAAGCCAGCGTCTGTTGCCTGTGTGAGGAAGAGATAGCTTGGTAGATTGTCCTTGCATAGACAACTGTAGTTGTTTTAATCTGTTTGTATAGATGAAAACAAAACAAAGGAATTGTTTGCCTGCTTGTACATGTTTCTCCATGTTTCTCCTAATCTTAGCAACTTGTGAGATTGCTTTCTTTGGGACAGTATGTGCCTGGTCAGACTTGGAGCAGTTCGATGCTTGTTCACATGGAAGACACAGAAGAGAGTCTTAGCTCTTTCACTTTACTCTTGGGTCATAGCAAGAAGATGGTACGTTCAAATCTCTGGCTCATGTTACTCATTTAGAAACTCTTTCTTCAGCTCCTTTAAAGAAGAGCATTGAAAATGCTTGAACGGAGTAAGACAAACATAGGCCTGGATAAAAAAGCTGATGTCTGGAGTTTGAAGCTCAGATAGAGAAAAAGTAAAGCAGGAGGAAATTCAAGTGATCATAAGGTCCCACTGGAAATGCACAAGATCCCAGATGTTTTGGTTTCTGGAAGCCCAAGTGTATTTATTGTTGTAGATATAGAGAAAAAGAGCAGTGCTTTCTTATTTGAGTTCATGTTTATGTTAAGGATACTTTATTGGTACTGGTGAGTAGTATTTATAGAAAATAACACAAAAACCCTGTGCTTAGCCACTTTTTAAAAGTCATAATTAGTTTGCAGCATAGTTAAAACAGCTTAGTCTAATTGTGGTCTTTTGCCTTCCTTTCTTTCTATCTCCAACCTGCTCTGAAAACAAACATAGGCTATGATTAGGCTATACTGCCCTGGCTGACTATTTGTTAAATAAGGCCTGTCTTGATGACAGGCTTAGTATGTCTTTTAGCATCACTTATGTGAGAGGGCTCTAATACTAATGGCCTTAGAATTACGGCTATGAAAGCTACGAAAGAGGTGGGATGCACCTTGCAGTTCTGCCTGGGCTCAGTGCAGGCACCAGTGGCCATCACTGTCCTGCCAGGTCCTGAGGCCACCTCAGCTGTTCCCACTTTAGAGCACTCTAGCCTGAAGGACATTACATCTTAAAATGCACTCTGAAAGTTCAGCCTTGACCTCCTGGAGTTGTGTAGCAGTACAGAAAACACACAGTGCTGCACTGGCAAAAAGAGCATTTTTTCCCCCTAACCAAGATGTAGGTAGGAACACTGCATGGCAGTATTTCAGATAGAAAATGTAACAGAACTGTTGTAACTTCTGAAGAGTTTATCCTTTTTACACTGTGGTTTAAACTTCAGAGTGTAAATAATTAGAACACTTTGTATTCACAAAGTAGAAGTATGTGGAATTCATTGAGAATAAATAAGACTTCCAGTTGGCTTTCCTGCTAACTGAATGAGTGTTTAGTGTGACAAATATCATACTGATTTTAACAGACTTCTTTGGTTTACAGGGATTCAGATCAATGACACTGCACATTAATCTCAGTAAATGCATCTGTTTTGTTACTCTTAACTGGAACTTTGGACACAACTTTTTTGTTTTTGTAACTATTATGTATATATATGTGTAACTTTTAAAACTAATATTGCAGGGGGGCTTGTTTGGGTTGGGTTTTTTTGAAATGTAGTAATGACATGTTTTTAAAACTGTACTAGATATGCCAAAAGTTTATTAAAGGTGAATGGTCTGCCAAATGAATGCTCTGGATCGTGTTCACTTTTGTTAAAGACTTGCATTATTTTTAATGGTTGTCTCATACTGGAAGAATGTAATGTTTACCCTTCATCTTCTGAAAGAGGCATAGTAGTGGGAGCACAGTCATGGATGTTTTGCCAAACTAAATGATTTTTTGGTTGTTCTTTTAGAGTTTGCAAAAGTGCCTCCCAAACCATGTACACAAAGTGGTTTGAGGGCCAGAGGGTGTGTTGCATTGCATTTGAGTCTGCTTCTCATTAGAAACAAGCTTTTGTGCTTCCCTGCTGTCACAGGAACTCAGAATAGTGCCTCTGTGTAAATTCCTAGGTCTCAAACTATGCCCTTAATCCCATCTAGCTGGGAACCCAAGCTGCAGATATGACTAGCAGGTACATGTGAATTGTTTGAGAAGATGATATTTTGTCTGCTTTGTGGCATCCAAGACTAAAATAGTAAGACAGGAAGCACGGGATAGTAGGAATTTGTCAATCCTTGTGCACTTGGTTTCCAGCACTCTTGTATAACTGTATTGGTATTTCTAGCAGCAATAGTCATCAGGTTTTTTATTGCTGTGTTTACAGTAGTACAAACTGCCTTACACTGTGGCTTGTGCTCCATGATGCCAGGCAAAGCAGCTAGCTAGAAAGGAGAAATTTTCCATCTAGTGAAAATGTCAATTCTGGACAAAAAGGAAAAAGCAAAAATGTTGTTTTGTCAGAGTGGGAATTCTAAACAATATTTTGATTTTTATTCTCTTTCTGTTTATTTCAGTGATAACCCACCTAAAATGCTAAGTGGGGCAGTTGCTGTACCAAGGAGAACCACCTACCCACCCCAAACACAAAAGCAGCTGAACAACCAGGCTGCCTATAGCAACTTAAAGTAGCTGCACTACAGGGTCCTGGGCAAGCTCACATGGTGTTAGGCTCTCACATTAAGTAAGCACACAGATGCTTATGTCCTTGCATCTGGCAAACCATTCACACCTGGCTTCACAGCCAGTGTCAACAATTTTAAGCTTTCCAAGTGCTGGGTTCACAACATCAAAAATGTCATGGGGTAGCCACTCCCTACCACCCCTCATATGGCCTTCAAGACTGGGAGCTATCACTGGGAATGTGGCTTCCACTGATAATGTTCCAGTGAGAATGTGCAGCAGAGCTGAAGACAGAGCTGTGCTCTGGGTTCCCTAGTCACGGCTGTCAGGTAAGGATGGTTCATGTTACTTGTCCTCTTTTCACTTTGTGGTGGGGCCGTCTGAATTTTCTATAGTGGTTTCCCAAAAGCTGAGAAGTCTGGTGCTGCTTTGCTTCTCCTGACCATTAAAGAACCCAGGTCACAAGCACCTGCCTCTGAAAAAACACTTGGCTGGAGCATTGGGAACCAGTGTGGAAAATAATACATGGAGACAGGAGAGTCTTCATTCTTTGCTGTAACCTTTTCAGGTGGACTGTCTGTTCCTTTCCCTTTATGTGCTGTGATTGAACAGTAGATGCTGTCACTGATAGCATAAAGCAGCTAGCTGCAGGGATTCATACTTTAGTGGGCAGCTTGCCACATACAGGCAGAAGATGTAATGCTAAGGGCTGCATACTTCTCTTATTCAAGGAGACGAATAGAGCAGATTATACTGGAGTTGTGTAAATCCACTTTAATTGGCTTTCCTGCTAACACTTTCATTAACATGTAAATTAGCTGTCCTAGAGCTGTTAATTATCCTTGCAGAAAATGTTGGATACAGTCATATAATGTAGGCTTTCTTTTTTACTGCTCTTTATGTTTTATACAGAAATGTGCCCATAAATATTCACTGCATTTTTTTTTAATTATTATTTAAGAGGAGGATGAAAAGGCTAAGGCTCTGTGTCATCTTGTAGGGATACAACTGTCTTGCTTCAGCATTATTCACCAGCCTGCTCCTGTGTTAAACTGACACTCAAGTTGGAAGCTGGGCCCTGGGTTTTATTGATTTGACCTTTGAACGTTGTGGACATTTTTTTTTTTTTAGAACACCTGGAGGATGGCAGGTGCTCAGACAAAGGCAGCATCCTCTGACAGCAGGTCATGTGTTCACAATTTGGTACTGGCTGTGAAACAGGTAGGCATTACAAGGAAGAAAGTGGCTGTATTCCCCATTTCCAACAAGCTGAGAATAATCTATTTGATTTTCCTATTGAGGAAAAAAACGAACAACCCTACTTTTTTTTTTTTAAATACACCTTTCTGCAAAAAAAATCAGAAAACGAGGGGTTTTCCAGCTTCACCAACTGCTTAGAAGTGCTCTCCTTCCTTTAATAATGATGTCTTAATGCCTCCAGTCACGTGCTTGTGGCTGAGCTTCAGGACACAACAGCCTGCATGGCCCTCACAGACCAGCTCTTTCCTCATCTTCACTGTGGAAATAAAAAGATCAACAGGGCCTTTTCTTGTAAAGAAGCAGCATGAGAACAGGGACACAACTACTGAAGCATTAAATTGTCTTTAGCATAGGACATCATTGTGCTGCTGACTTAGGCCATCAGCAGGTCTCAGCTATTTACTGTTTCCACATTGTTTGCATAGATAATACACAGGCCAGACTCTAGGGTCTCTTCCAAAAGATACTCTCATTGTCCACATGCAATTTCATTGTAAAGTATATTGCTTGGAGTTAACTTGGTGTGAACAAAAGAACAGGGTAAGTTTTGGAAAGGTGGTAGAAAACAAACTGGAGATGCCTTTGATCTCCTTTTAGGTCAGAGCCATTAATAGCACAGACCTTAAAAGAGAATTTATGGTTCACTTGCCTGGCCTGGCCTGGAG